GTGTGAGTGAGTGAGTGAGTGAGTGCGTGCGTGCGTGCGTGCGTGTGTGTGTTTATGGGAAGCAGTGCCATCATGTGAGCTGGAGATGCTGGTACACTGTGAGCAGCACGTAGACCAAACGCTCTCCAACCTCAGAAACCACAAACAGCTCATGGGTACCGCCGTCCAGGAATATTTGATCAACGTGTCACTGACTCACAGCAAGAAAAAACGTTACTCTCCTGGAGGTCATCTCTTCATTACTGTAAATTCTGTCCCAGTTTTTATGGAGGAATTTCATTTTCTGCACTATTCAAGTGATCCTGAATGAAGGACTTTCCTCTTTGCTATTTCTTTTTATTTTCATTCACTCATTATCAATAATATCTTGTTTTATGAGCTATTTCACAATGAGCCAATCAAACATTAACTACTGCAACATACCATAGTAAATACACGCTTTGATCATCGGCAGGTTTAAAGATCTCCAAATACAAATGACATCAAATCTTGTAAAGAAGATATTTTACAGCATATAACTTATGGATATCATCCTGTTGTGTTTAAATCAGAGAGCAGTACATATGGATGAAAGCCAGCACCCAAAGTCAACAGTCTTAACTCTGCTGAAACAGTCAGGAGAAAGCAATCTTAATCGCACTTTCATAATTTACAGTTTTTTTTTTTGTTTTTGTTTTTTTTTTAACTAAACAAGTTTTCATTTGTATGGTCTTGTCTGTGTTGAATCTGTCTATGAATATTTGACTAACCTTTTCATTATTTAAATATAAAAGATGATGCCATGCATGTTTTAGCACTTCCGAATGTTTGTTCACTTCCTTAATATTTGAATAAAGGCTGGAGAAGAAGCAAGCTTGCTCTTAGACCAGCAGAGTTTTACACACAGTTACACTGATGGATGCTCTGATTTTACAGTCACAGGCAGATCTGCTCACCTTTACTACGTTGGGCATCCCTCTCACTGCTCTCATCTTCCTCAGCGGAGGATGAAGATGCTATGGCTAGCACCTGGAGATGAAGGACGAGGAGTATATCCAGCAGCATGCTGACCTCCGCAGCACTAGAGTTTTCCACAGGTATCGTGGTGTTGTTTCTCATTCACACAGCATCTCAGCCTCTGCTTTAGTGACTCAGGGGTCTGCCAACTGGGGCCGGGCTTCACAGAACAAACCAATCACAATGCTCAAGCTGCTCAAGGTTCCAGGACATCTCTCTCTCTCTCTCTCTCTCCATTTCTTAGAGTTAGAGGGTAACCAAATCTCTCACTCTCTCATAAACTAAATGCCTCCCTCCTTCCTTGATCAAAGTTCAGTGGGAATAAGCTACACACTGAGTAGCTAATTCTGTTAAAGCAAACACTGTAAAAAATCAAAAGTTGAGAAAACTTAAAAGTTTAAGGCAACCAGCTTCAGGAGATTTTTGAGTTTTCTCAACTTTTTGTTGTATAAACTGAAAACAACAAGTTGAGAAAACTCAAAAATCTCCTCAAGCTGGTTGAAGACGTGACTCTTTTTCCATATTTAATAGTCTAAAATTTGAGTGTTCTAGTTTCTACAAACTCGAAAAAAGTAACATCCGAATGTATTATTTTTTTTAAATTTATTCTACAATTTCTACAATTAGTAATGTGCTTTTCTCAGTACTATTTTTTCAAACTCTTTACACAGATGTCTTACAACATGCAGATGGCACCAAGATTTTGTTTTGTTTGTTTGTTCATTTGTCAAAGAAACCAGAATTCCTTTGCAAAACAAGAATGATTTGTCTTTTTGCATAGTGAAAGTCCAACAAACAAAAAAAACAAATTGAAATGTCAATAAATAAGACATTGCATTTTTTGCGATAACCAAATTTAATAAACAATATCTGAATATTTATCAAACTATTTCACTGGTTTTCATCCGGTGTAAAACCAGTGTCAAAGAAACTATGGATGATCTGTTATGGCGACCTCTGATGGGAGCAGACGAAAGAAGAAAAAGGAAGAGAGCATTTCACTGAATTTCACTTGAGTGCTTTAAAACGTTTTTCTTGTCACTTCAGTGGACCTCTAATCCTAATCCATGTTAACATTATTTACTGAGTTTGTAAAGAAAGAAAATTACAGAAATGATAGAAAGCATTTAGAATTATCCACCAGTGTAAAAAGTACATCATAGACAGATCTTTTTGAAAATTAAAAACACTAAGTTTGTGTTGTAATTGTAAGAGTTGAGTGGGTTTGGCTGTAAGTACAGTATATGGCTTTCTAAAATTAAATGTTTTGATTAAAGAATGGCATTTCTTTCGCAGTATCTATAAGGATATAAATCCAGTTTACTGGTGACCAAGCTGTGATTCACAGAGAGGTTCTTATCAGTCATCAGTTCAAAGATTTTCACCCTGTTAAAAGTGGCTACCAAAAGAGTGAGTAACGCCACGTTCAACTGTTTTGGTGAACAGAAAGGAGTGACTTCAAAATGCCCCGTCATCACTCACACCCAGATCAGCTCTCAGAGTCTCAGCTAACCAGCCGATGAGTTGAATCAGCGGTGTTTGATTAGGACTAAGAATGAAACACTGCAATCCAAAAGCAAATAAAGGAGTCCAAATTTGTCATGACTGCAAACAGTAATGCATCAGCATCCCTTACTCAAGCTCTAATGGTGGTGCCACATACCCTTTCAATGAACCAGAAAGACGTGACCTCAGTGCTGTTGGTGTTCACAATGTAAGTGGACTTAAAGGGGGACTTTTTCTGTGCTCTTAACACTGACAGGCCTTCAATTCTCCCCAACCCTTCACTTTTTGAGAAAGGAAAAACTTGAATAATATGTTGAGGATATCTAATGCAATTCTCTCTCCAGATATCAATATGTGCATGTGAAAAATCTTGTTTTTGACAGAAGCTGGAAGCTATCAATGGCAAGCCTCAGTACTTCTGCCATACGAAATGTTTTCACCTTCACATTATACTAATCAATCAAACCACAAAAGGACCCACGAACAAACTGTACATGGGTAACGTTCTGAGGTGGTCTGAGTACAGTTCATGTCCTCATCTGAGATGATTTGAGGTATTCACATACACATTATACCGGCCTGAGAACGCTTGAAGTGCTCACTAAGGGTAAAAACTTCCTATATGAAGGGTAATTGTTCACAAATTCAAATCGGTCTAGTATGTGGCAAGAAGGAAATCAACATTTGTGATAATGTCGAACAAAAACAGGCTTCATCGAGGCTTTTGCAACAAGGGGGTAAAAAAGAAAAACAAAAATGCTAATGAGAATGTAAAGCTCACACAACTGGCCCAACGGAGAACACACACCTTCACTTAATCTACTTGAGAATATTATTTCAGAATAAAATCAAATGTAACAATTTATTATCAGTCAGGTAAATATGTATTATGCCAATTACATAGCCAGAGATATCAAATCAATACAATACATCAAATTCTCAAAGATGAATCTAAGAGTAAGACGCATACCTGACTTTAGAAAAGTACATAATATAAAGTGTCTGGACACACTTCATACTATGGGCACATTCTGACTACAGAAAAAGCCCTGATCTTCTTGCAAGATTTCCTTAAGTACTCAGACCAAGACAAGCATCCCCCAAAATGGAGACAGGAACTAACAATTGGAATTTGCATTGATCAAGTAGGGTTAACTTTGGGACAGAAGGTAATTTGCATGATAGACACTGGGAAATGACACACCTTCTACAGCAATCAACTTATCTCCAAACTCTTAGGATCTGTGTTACCTTCTTCTAATCTTGATGGCTGTCTGTCCTATTGTTAAGATGATGAGACCTTTACCAGACACACAGAGACCTTTCAAACAAGAACAGTTGCATTGTTATAAACTCTGATCAAAAAAAAAAAAAAAAAGTGGTTTCGGTGATCTCTGTAGAGTCGTGTGTTTAGATGGAAATGAGGGCAGAGCGAGTAAAGGAAGTGGATGTGGAGAATCATACATAAGGTGTGAAACTTTTGTGTTGTCTTGAATGAGGATATTAGGCTTATGTCAGAGTTCAGATGTTGATACTCGTAAGAGTTCTGTGTCTTTTCAGACTGTGGCCCTCTTCTGGACCAGACAAATAGCATCAGCCTTACAAAGAACTCACTCAGCTTTTATTGGGAATAACAGTCAAGTCCACACTCTAAAAAATGCTGGGTTGTTTCTACCCAACTCTGGGTCAAATATGGACTAACCCAACCGTTGGGTTAAATTTTTACATTAAATTTTTAACCCAAAAGTTGGGTTAGTCCAAATTTGACCCAAAGTTGGGTTGAAATAACCCAGCGTTTTTTAGAGTCCATCATGGGATGTCCCTATAGTGAATGTCTAATAAACAGTCTAACGTCGTAACCTCATGTGTCAGTCTGAATAGTGAACAGACCAGAGTCCAAAAGGTTGAACACATATTCAGAACCTTGGCACAAACTCTGGGCAGAGCACAACACAGACAGGCCAAAAGAAAGACAAAGCTGAGATATATCACTTCACAAGACAGCAAACAGAAACCAATGGAGCTACGATCAACTTAGGCTAACGATGCTTCTGGGAAACGCAGCCCAGCATGAGGCACCTGTCAAAATCCAAAACGAAACATGAGGGAATAAGAGCCAGACAAAACAGCACTGGGGTCATGACAGGATTTGAATCCGGGTCCACTAGAAGTGGAGGTCGATCCAGATCAGGGATGGGCTACTCTGGTCCAGAATCACACTGTTGCTGGGGTGTCTACTCCTGCAGAGTTTAGCTCCAACCCCAGTTAAACACACCTGAACCAGCTAATCAAGGCATTTAGGATCACTTCCAGGCAGAGCTCTGCAGGACACTGGCCCTCCAGGAGCAGGAGCAGACACCCCTGCACTATTGTCAACACTACCTTATATCAGGTAAATGCTGGGATCAGCTCCATTATCCCTGCGACCATACATTGGACAAGCAGTTAGAGCAGGGGTTCTCCAACCACATGCCTGGAGCCCAAACACATCTGATTCAGCTCATGAATACAGACTCCAAGACCTGAAATGGGTGTCAAACAACACTCTTATAAAAATAAAGATGCTTAAAAGGTTCTTCACAGCGATGCCATAGAAGAACCATTTTTGGTTCCACAAAGAACCATTCAGTCAAGAACCGTCTCTTTCTTATCTTTTTATAATCTGAAGAACCTTCGTTCGCCACAATGAAACAGAAAGCTTCTTCAGCTGTTAGTTAAAGGTTCTTTATGGAACCATTTAAACAGAAAGGTTCTTCTATGGCATCGTGAAGCACCTTTATTTTTAAGAGTGAAAGGAGAGATGTGCGAAATGTGCAGTTTTGGGGGGGCTCCAGGAACATGTTTGTGAACCATTGAGTTAGAGAATGGATGAGTCGTCATTCACTGCATGGACATTTCTGAGAACTCAATAACTGCAGATGCTCAATTACCACACTTTAGCCCATAATGCTCATGTTCAGCAGAAATACATTACATAAAGTCGTTAAAGTCTTTGGGCTGAAAACCTTTCTGTCTTTACAGGGTGACCAATACTTGTCATTTGCCGTCAAGCTCAATATATGAAGCAAAATAATATTCTTTCAAGTGAATTTGAAACTAGTACAAAGCACGGCCTGCCTTGTAATCCTCATTATATAAAAGCTCCTCTGAGAGAAATTTTAATGAGTAATTTCTGTCATGTCAATTACAAATGAGATGTGCAAGGAATCCAGCTGACAAAACAATTCTGTCCAATGAGCTGGAATGTGTTACAATCATTAGCCTGAATGATTTGAAACTGTTATTTAATTTATTTCATGTTTAAGGTGTTTAAGTATCTTGTCAATAACATTATGTCGGAACATTCCAAGATAAAGTTCAGCCGTGAATAAACACAACAGGAACTGACTGCAGGATTACTCCACAATCCCTGGAAATTCCCATCTTTTCGTCGAGTCCTAGTATTTATTAGTGGAGCGGCAGTTCTCCAGTAGTGTTCAACACCACATGATCCAATGATCACGCACTTATGAAAGTGTATTTTCTGATGTGGCGCACTAAAATTACAGTACAGTAAAATGTTCATTCAGCAGCTCCTAGGGCAATTTGAAATGTTAA